AACTAACATCTATTTAGCACCTAGTACATGCCAGGCACAGTCCTGTCATCAGAAATGCTGCAGGAAGAATTTCTGGCCTTACTAGTAAGCAGGAAAACATGGTCTCGGAGTCCTCCCGGTTTAATAATTGCATGGGCATGAAGGCATCGTCTAGCAGCTGCCACTCAAAGTGCGGTTCCTGGACCAGCAGCATCCGCGTGGAGCTGGTTAGAAATGCGAACCTCCACAACATTGTAAAATGATTATAAATCAATAAAAAATGTTAAAAAAAAAAAAAGAAATGCGAACCTCAGGCCCCACCCTGGACCTACTGAATCAGTATCTGCATTTTCACAAAATCCCAGGTGATTTGCATCCACATTACCTTTTGCCAAGCACAGCCCTGGTCCTGGGACAGCCTGCATTGCTCTTACCAGCAACGGTTAGTCGTGGGCTGACTACAGCTATAAGTTTAAGGACTTATTGGTAAGTTAAGGAGGAGTGTCACCCTAAAATTAACTGATGACCACAAATGCATCCCCAGCCAGCAGCTCAGGGGCCCCGCTGAGTTGGCTGAAGGCTCTGAGCTGTACCGAGGCTCATAGGATGTTGCTCAGGCTGAGGGGCCTTGGTCTGGGGGCTGGGTAGGGATGGGGCATGCTGAAGCCTTGGTGCCACCCTTCTGTGCCCACTGGGCCCCATTCTATCTTGAGTAGAGTCTCCTCAGCTGGCCTGGGGTTAGTATGGGGCTGCTTTGTGCTTTCTTTGATGTACAGGCCAAGGGAGCTGCTAAGAGTGGTCTGTCTTAGTGGGTGGGCAGAGTGGTGCCTACGTGGAGCCTGGGCAGGCTGGAATTCTGATTTTCTGTGCTACCCTCTGGGAGATGGGATACTGCTCAGTCACTGACTCCCTAAGCATTTGCTAATCACCTACTGTATGCCAGGCACTTTGCAAACATCATGTGATTAATCATGCCACAATGTTTTATGGCTGGGAGCTGACGCTCGGATTGGTGAGATGACTTGCCAAGGCTTCTCAGGGGGCTGCACAGCATGCCTGACCTGAGACTGCTGAGGCCTGGAGCCTGGAAGGCCTCAGGATGGTCTGGAGCAAGTGGCAGGGAAGGGATGGATCTTGTGGGAACTGAAGCACGTGGGCATCCAGCACAGGCCCTCGTGGAGTTTGCAGTCCTGGGAGTGTTAGACAAGTGCACACATGACTCTGAGATAAGGCAGAGGCTCTGAGAAGTTCACCTGGCTGCTGAGGGGGGGGTCACAAAGTTGGCAAAGGTCGTGTCACACTCCTGGGGCTCAGCCAGGG